GGCTGATCTGAAAAAAAAAGAAGAAAAAAACAGAGGGGAAATGTGTGAGAAATGGTCAATGGTTTATGTTTAAACAGTATAGCTTTCTTGCACATCCTTGTCAGGGAACTCCATTAATTGCCTGAATGCACAATCCTGTTAAAGGTACACTGAGTAACTTAATGGCCCTTCAAACTTGAACCTTTTTTTTTTTTTTGGCTGTGTCTTAAAGTATCTTTTTAGTTGTGACAACTCTTGATCTAAGGAATATCAGTGTGTATCAGCTGCTGTAACGACATTTGTATTGTGTATAAATATTAGAGCAAAATAGGCTATTGAGTCAATCTAGAAGTACTCTTGAAGAATACAAGACTTTAACCAAAATGAATACTATATCAACATAACCAAAATTAATATTATATCAACATAATTGGCTTGCATTAAATTCTCAGAAATATTTCCAAATACTTCCAAATTAATCAATCCAATTAAATTGTATGGAAACTGGAATCAGAATAAGAAAATAAGAATAATTGTGAATCAAACTGAATAGGGTATATGTCGAACGTCACCTGACCAAACTTGGAAAACAGGCCTCATCACTTCCGCTTGTTGGAGAATGTGTTAACAGCCGTATTCAATAATGGCGATATCTATGGACTTTTAAGGTAATGAGTTAAACTAGCTAGCTGTTTTTATTGTTGACATTTTATAAAATGTAATATCTAAATGTTAGTGAAAAAAAAACTTTTAGGTATCAATCTGCATATGTGATGGACATTGGTTATGATCATCTTTGTATCTACTTTGAATGTATCTTGAGTAAAACAACTTCATATTTAATGAAGCATATGCAAAACGCTTGAACCGGAAGCAACGAGACCCGTTTAACAAAATACGGAAGTCTGGCTGCTAACACAATGCTCTACCACTGAGCCACAGGAACATGAATGAATCAACTGTTTAAATGATTTGGTTCAATTGCAATGGCTCACTTAACAGTGACTTGCTGCCACCTACTGGCGGTTTTAATTTCCCATTTAAAGTATCTTTTCATTTTTTAAATAATTTCAAATATCAGTACTCAGCATTTCATGTTTAAAATATCAAATCATTATTTATGCATTTGTAACTGCAGGTTAAAGCATTCCATGTCCCTCTCTAAGCTGCATTAACATGTGTAAATATCTAAATGCCACTTCATATGCAACTTCTGCAAAGATGAATTGTATTGATACTGATTTCATTTGTTTAGTAACAGCCTACATGTGTTATTATTATAATTGATTGATTAAATGTAAGGATTTGACTCAAAAGATGATGCACACTTATAGAAAAAATGGCTTTATAAAGGTAAAAATGCCCATAAAAGGTAGAAATCAATTTAAACTTATTGGAAAATATGAATTTATCTCACTGCTGTGAACTGATCAACACACAGAATATGAAGAATATCAAAAACTTTAGGAGTCATCTGTCCATGGTAGTCCTTAAGATATCAGCACAATAACACACTCAGAAAAATATCGTCTAATTAACTTTATTGATAAAATCCCAGAAAATATTGAGATATTTTTTTTTGTCAATATCGCCCACCCTTATTACTGACACAAAATTATTTGCAACGATCACTTTGTCATGCCCAGTGTAGACAGCCTCAAACTGTTGGTTTATTTCTGTTTTTTTGGCTAGTAGAAGTAACGAACGGCCGGTAACTTAAAAATGTAGTAGCCAAATTGGCTGGTGAGTGAAAAAGTTAATTTCAATACCTGTATATATATATATATGAAAATTATGTCTCCGAATAATTTTTGGTTTCACTGTATATCATTCGGTTATTTTCACACTTAATCATGCTCATTAAAATGTATTTTACAAGTTTTTGTTACTTTCACAGTTATTTTTTTGCTCTATGGTACACCATCTTTAATTTAATAGCATTAGAGCTGCTCCATTGCAGAGGCTTAGTTCTGTAATCACGTGCTTTGCTGTAATAATGCAGGGAACCACTCGTTATAAATCTCCTAACTGTGATATTTTCAGAAATAGAAGTTGCGTTTTTTTCATCTGAAACGTGCTGCGATTTATTTTCCAAAGCCACTCTTATAATGCAGAAACACTCAAGCAAGCAAAACACGCGCAACGCGTGCACGTATTTGTACTGATGCAGAATAGTACACGCTCAGAAAAAATGATGCGTGTGCTCAGTGAGTGAACATCAAAGATCACACAACAGAAGTGCGCGCACGCTATCTCTCTCTCTCTCTCCCTACGGTTTAGTAACTTGTGCATTGTTTTACTTACTTGTTTTTGACATATCCCCACGACCTTCAAACTTTCCAACTTTCC